ACACAGACACACACAGAGACACAGACACACATACAGACACAGACACACATACAGACACAGACACACATAGAAACACAGACACACACACAGAGACAGACACACACACAGACACACACAGAGACACACAGAGACACAGACACAGACGCACACAGACACACACACACACAGACACACACATGCACGCATGCACAGGGATTTCATCTTGGTTCCATATATAAGGGAAAAATTCAGTATTTATCTTTCTGAGCCTGGCTTATTTCTCTTACTACAAGGATCTCCAATTACATCCAGTTTCCTGCAAATGTTATCATGTCATTTTTCTTTATGATGGGATGCAATCCCACTGTGTATGTGCTGCTAATGGACATCTAGGCTGACTCTTTCTCTTGTCAGTGGTTTGTGTCTAAGATGAATGTTTTCTGTTTTCTACTTTGCTTTGCAGAATGTACAGGGTTTTCCATCCGTCCTGTTGCTGGTTACCTCTCACCAAGAGATTTCCTGTCAGGGTTAGCCTTTCGAGTCTTTCACTGCACTCAGTATGTGAGACACAGTTCAGATCCCCTCTATACTCCAGAGCCGTGAGTACTTCAGTCCTTCATTCATCAAACAGTTGTTTATAGTAATGGTACCCACTTCACAAAGCATCCTGTAAGTGTTCAATGAAGCAGCATATGTCAAGCCTTTAGGATAGTGACTGGCATTAAAGCATATACCATAACATATGTAACCAGTTATTATTATTATCATTGGAAACTTGTTAGATGCCAGGTGCAGTTCTGTGCACAAGAGATGTAAAAATCAGATAAAATTATTGTCTTCATAAAGTTTGTATTTTGAGGAGATAGATAGATAGATAGATAGATAGATAGATAGATAGATAGATAAGCAAGTGAATGTAGTGTGTGTCATGTCAGATGATGGTGTGTGCCGTGGGGGAAAAGAATGGAATGATGCAGACATGTGTATGGGTGTCGCATTGGAAGTGTGATCAAAGAGGGCCTTGCTGAGAAAATATGGGAGCAGAGACTTGATTTGGGTGGGGACTTGGAATATCAGTGGATTCGTGTCCAGGGGATGAGATTTGGGACCAATGGAATTTCTTTATTCAGTTAATATCCTTTATGATAAATTATTCATGGTCAACTAGAGTAAAAACAAGGTTGACTTTGGTTTGTATTCAACACTTATTTATACGTTTGTGCCCAGTACCACAGTGTGACAGACTGTGTCTCTGTTTCAGAGATACCTGCCATGAACTCTTAGGTCATGTTCCTCTCTTGGCTGAACCCAGTTTTGCTCAATTCTCCCAAGAAATCGGCCTGGCATCCCTTGGAGCTTCAGATGAGACTGTTCAAAAACTGGCAACGGTATACAAGTGAAAACAGTTGTATAGTCCAGGATTCTACATTGGGTGTGGTTGGGAGTATTTGGGTAGTGTGAAGTCCATGATCAAAACAACCATTAGATTTGTTTTTGCTTTAAATATTTATGAATTTAAATAATGCTAAATGGAGTTATAAAAATTTAAGGTTTCTCAAAAAAAATCCCCACAGCTTTAAAACAAGACAGAGAAGCACAAGATTGCTTTAATATACTAATTTTTAGATTAAAAAGTGAGTGATGTCTTATGAAGCAGGGAAGGAAGGAAGGACATTTTAGGATGAGGCACAAGACAGATGAGAAGGGGCTTGGTACCACTGGGAAACAGCTGAGGGTGGAGAAGGGGTGTGAAGTAGGCTAACTGGTTATGTAATTGTGGTTTGGGGATGCTAGGGCCCCTGAGACCTTTTGTGGAGTCCTTCAGGACAACATCATTCATAAGTAAAAGATACAAAAGATATATTTTTAATGTGACAGACAGGGCTCAGATGCCACACTGAGTCTGAACTTTAAGCGACTGTCATATGCTGAGCGAGGCAGTTTAAAGAATATGCACATTTCTTTGAAGAGGAGAGTCAAATACCCACCTCTTTTCTAACTACATATCTGTGTGATGCTGAGCTTTCTTCATATACTTAAACCAAAACAACACATTGCAAGAGATTAAATACAGCAGCAGATATGGTAATCCATCTGCCTTCCCTTCAGACATTAAATACTGTCTAGCCAGGCATGGATAAGATGTGAGCAGGGTGGGGTTAGCTGACTCAGTTGCTCCTCACTATAAATCCATAGGATTGTAATTGTCAAAAGTTAAAATTAGGGCCAGCAAGAAGCTCAGTGCCACCAAGCCTGAGGACCTGGTCAGGGTGTCCCCTGACTTTCACAGGAATGTGCATAAATAAACACACAAATAAATGTAACAGAAATAATTAAAGTTAAAAAGATGATGGCTACACAGTTGGAAGCATTCTTCCTGCTCTTCCAGAGAACAGAACTTGGGTTCTGTTTCCCAATGCCCACACTACACAATCACAGCCTCCTGTAACTCCAGCTCCAGGGGATCTCATGCCCTCTTCTGGCCGTTGTAGGTGTCTGCACATATAGACACAGAAATAATCAAAACACATTTAAAAAGTGAATAACAATTATAAAACAATGCTACTCTTTCGTTACTCTTTGTTTTGTAAAATATATTTTCATTAGTGTGTTACTTACATTACCATACAATGGGTTCACCATATTTAAATTTGATTTTTAAACACCTAAATTGTTTCTTGGTTTTAACTGTAAAATGATCAATATAGCTGGGGTAATCTTTGGACTCCTCAGTAATTTGCAACTGTATATTAGAGTCTTTACATCAAGTTTAGAGACTCCTGATGCACAATAGGACCAGACTATGAAAGGACTTAGGATGTGGGCTGGAAGCCTTGGGCTTAATTCTAGGTGTACTTTGGGCCAGTGACTAAGAACTGGAATTTGCTTTATATTGAGAAGCTCAGGATGTAAACATGATGCTGACATCCTTTTGCAGTGCTACTTTTTTACTGTGGAGTTTGGTCTGTGCAAACAAGATGGACAGCTGAGAGTCTTTGGCGCTGGCTTGCTTTCTTCCATCAGTGAGCTCAAAGTAAGAGTCATCAGTTGGTCTGTTTACCAACATGATCAACATACCTGCAGGCAGAACTTGTAAGCACTTACTATGGCAAATATTTGAGGTGGCAGCAAACATACTTTGAGAACATTTTTCTCTACAAATTTCTAGAAAAAATTGTCTTTAAATAGAAAGTATTTTAAAGCTTTAAACAAATTTCTGGGATACAAGCAGTAAGTTCTGTACCAAGTAGGGAAGTGAGATCTAGTTACTAAAGCTTTAAACAAATTTCTGGGATACCAGCAGTAAGTTCTGTACCAAGTAGGGAAGTGAGATCTAGTTACCTAAGAAAGGAATGAGTGAGGTCTGTGGGGTGAGCTATGCTACAAACGCTGTCCAAGGAACTACAGTGGGCTCAGGTAGGCTGCTCTCTGGTGGTGGGTATAAGCTAAGTGTAAAAGTGACCAGTAGAGGTAAATGGAAATATTTGCATAAGTAAATAAGCAAATAAATAAAGATCCTTGGGTACCTCCTATGTGATGAAGAGAGTTAAAATGAAACCACTGATATGGCCTTGGGTCATTTACCGGGGACAGCAAGCCTTTTTCAGTTGGGCTAGACTGGATGAAGCAGAGATGAAGTGAGTTAGTCTGGGGCTGCAGACAGGTCCCTTGCATAACTCAGATCAGAGGCATGCCAGCTGCTGCAGTCATGCATTTGGTGATGACAGAGGCAGTATTTGATCGCCATTCTTTGTCCCCCAGCATGCAATTTCTGGACATGCCAAAGTTAAGCCCTTTGATCCCAAGGTTGCCTGCAAGCAGGAGTGTCTCATCACAACCTTCCAGGATGTCTACTTTGTATCTGAGAGCTTTGAAGATGCAAAGCAGAAGATGAGGTAAAATCTATCCACCTTGAGCTTCCATTTGAGGCAAAAGTAATGTCCAAAGATCCAATAATCACAGGCATAAGCAAGTAGGTAACTGGGTGCCCACGAGGAGCCTTCTACCTGGGACATTGTTTATATAGAGTAGGTTGAATGCTGTATGTTAAATAGTTGCATATGGGAACGGGATACATTGGGAGATGGGCTCCTCCCCATTCCTTCCCAGCAGAGTTTATAGTTCAGCAGAAAAAAGAAACTAGAGACACAATACTGTAGTACTATGGGGGAGCGACAAGAATAGAGACAGAGAGGAAACACTGCCTCGCCTCCACTGGTCTCCTCTCCAGCTGGAGAGTCACAGAAATCTTAGAGGCAAGTGAGGTGGGTGGAAGACTAGCTAGAACTTAGATGTGTCCAGTTTTAGGCTGAAGTGGCCTGGAAAAAAGACAAAGCAATAGAAATGTGGGGGTATTTCAGTGCAGTCAGATCTCCCGACTTGTCATCAGGTAAGCATGCAGTCAAGAAGGGAGAACTGGAACAAGACACTTTTTAGATTCTTGAGAAGTTCAGGTGAAAGTAAAATCTGGACAAATATAGAGGTAGTGTCTATGGAAGCAGGATCCAGAAAATTGCATGTGATGAGGGGAGGCGTGAAGCCACACTGTGAGGACAGGGGAATATGGGGGTTGAAGATAACACTTCTCTTCTAGGGGCTTGCCATGCACAGACTCAAATAAATAGTAGCTGTGCTTTCTCTAGCCCGGATGGCATCCTGGTGCAAATCTATAGAGGTCACCGCTTAGGAAACCAGAGGGATGAGAACCTGGATCCCAGTCCCCAAGCATGTACACTTGTTCTCAGCCGTGCAGTTATCCTTTGGGGTCCTGCATATGATTGTTCTGTAGGGTACCAAGTAAGAGTTCCAAACGTTTGCTTGATAAAGGAGACAGATTTTAAACCATGAGGTGCACAGGGGGTGGGCGGATTCAAGTTATTTGAGAGGAAGCTAGAAACATTCTAAGCTGAAAAACTCCCAAGTACAGGAAGGTAGGACTCCCTCCCCTTCTCCCCTCCCTGATCCCATCTCATCTTTTATTATGTAAGGCATAGCTGAGGGGGTCTGTTACTTTGTGTTTCTGTCTTGCCATTATCTCTTGTCATACTGACAGATAAAGGTGCTGCAGTTGATGGCCTTAGTGAAGCCAAGAGGTCAAGAGATGAGTTGCAGATCACTCGGTGTGGGAGAATGGAGAGGGGGCAGAGGGAGGGGGGGGAAAGGAGGGATTGAGCAT